TAAGCAGATAGTAGAAACGTTGGACGTGTCTTTTCATGAATACAAGAAATAAAAAAGGAGAAAGTAAAAGGATGTGAAAAATCAAGTGGAAACAAAACTTTAGCTTATTTGACGAAATACTTAAAAATAAAGTGTGGGGGCGGTGACATTTGGAGATGTCCAACTCAAACTCCGCCCCCACCAATCATCATCTTAAATGTTACTGCATCTTGTGCTTCTTGTCGTGTTTTATCGTCTCGACACAGAATCTGCAGTCACACACAGATTCATCCCTGACACGTAGATGTTGGAGCTGAAACGAGCAACGCATTAGCTAAAAGGAGAAAACACCAGCTAACCCTGAAAGAAGCAAAACGTTGACTGAGAGCCCCAAGTAGTCAAATGCTAGCCAACAGGAGAAAAACAGTAGCTAACAGCTAAAAGGACAAAAAAAAAACTAGCTAGGTGGAAAACCCTTAACTAAAAGTGGCACAAAGCCAAAAGAATCAAAACGCTAGCCGAAAGATAAAAGCAGAATAGTAAACATGGCAACAACAAAAAAAAAAGGAGCAAAACACCAACTTAAAGTCAAAAAAAGCAAAATGCTAGCTATAAAGAAAAGTTGCAGAACGGTAGCTTCCACTAACAGTGGCTGGCTAAAAAAAGTAAAAAGCTAGCTGGAAGCTAAAGGTCACAGCACGTTAGCTAAATTCTGAAAGTAGAAGAAGAAAACTAGAGCTGAAGCAGATTCTGAAAAGAACATGGAGATCTTAAAGTATTTCAAAAAGGTAAATATTTGTAAAACTTTTGAATATTTTCTAAAAATATAAAAGTTACAAAGACGGTGGTGCTGAATGAGCCGAATGCTTTGAGATATCGGTGATTCTCCTACCGTTATAGACGGAGGGTGCCCCGCCCCGTCAACAGAACCGAGCGCCCCGCCTACAGAAATGCCCCGCCCCCGTTGACAACAGCCGGCCCTGACGTAGCGCTAAGCTAACGACGTGCAATACAGACGTGCTAGCTGAAAAGCTTCGGATGTCCGCTTCTCTCACAGATTATACAGCCTTCGACGGGCGAATAAAAATATTTATAAAGGAGGGAGGAAAGAATTTAGTATTTTATAAACCGTTAAAATTATGAAAAATGATGCTTTGCTCATTCTTGCAGATTTCTCACGTTGTGCTTAAATAGTGTGAATGTTTATGAAGCGTTCACTCTGTTGTGATCCATTTTTCTTCTGTACGTTTCTCAGCTTCTTTCTCGTTCCACAGTTTTTGTTCCATTTCAACAAATCATCAAAACGTTCGGCTCTTTCAGGACATTCCTGCTGTGACTTTTGGTATTGGTGCAACTTTAGCTTTTTTAAATATTTAGCCTTTTCTGACTTTTTTTTTTCCTCAAAAAAAGAAATTTAGCTCATTTTACATCCTTCAAATCTTTAGATCTGTTTACAACCTTTTACTGCTCCTTTCATATTTCGTTCTGATTCGGCTTCTTTCAGCTCCCTTCTGCAAATTTAAACTTTTTTTCAGCTAATTTTAGCTGGGTTCTTTTCAGCTGTTTTGTGCTCCTTTCAGATTCTTTCTGCTAACTACAACATTTTTGTGCTTCTTCATTCTTTCTGATAATTTCAGCTTATGCTCCTTTCAGCTAATTTTTACAAGTTTAACCTTTTTCTGCTATTTCAGCTACTATTTAGCCGTTTTATGCTAATTTTTGCTTTTTCCAGCTAATTCCACATTTTTTCCCTCACTCATTTAAAAATTTTTCAGCTTAATTCGACAAAATTGAGCCTTTAGTGAATTTCAGCCATTTTCAGATAAATTAAAATTCTGCCTAATTAACTTCTTTATGCAAATTTCAGCTTGTTATGCTCCTTTCAGCTTTTTTCTGCTAGTTTCAGCTTTATCTGCCATTTCAGTTACTATTTAGCCATTTTATGCTAATTTTTGCCTTTTCAGCTACTGTAATTCCACATTGAGCTCATTTCGGCTCATTCCACTTCATTCTGATGGTTTAAGCTCCTTTCTAACTTTCCAGCTGCTTTTCGGTAGGGGTGCACCGATTCCAGTTCTCTGGACGATCACCGACCTGCCGACTGCGGTTTTGTTTTCCAAGCGACACGGTCAGGTGTCAGAAGGTCACAACGCACCTTCAATTCTTCAATTTTCAGTCTTATTTTATTGAAGAACACGCCCTTGATCAATATCCCAGAAACAATACAAACCTGTTTTAACTGGCCGTGAGGTCGTGCTCTGAAATATGAGGTTCAGACAATTGTTAACTAAAAAAAAAAAAAATTAAAAATCGGTAAAATCAGCTTTCAATTCAAATCAGCCGATTTCTGATTTCCCAAAATTAAGGAAATCTGGGCCACCTCTACTTTTCAGCTATTTTTTTTTATTAATTTCCTAATTTTTGATCTAATTTCTGCTTATTTAAACATAATTCAGCAAATCCGTGTTCTTCCTTTCTTCTGCTAATTTAGGCTTCTCCTAGTTCAGTTACATTTCAGCTGTTTTTCAGCAAGTTCTTCTGCATCCACGTTGCATTTTCACATGAAATGAAATTTCCTCTAGTTTTCGTTGGATCTTTTCCCCCCCGGGTCGTCCTCTTCTTGTTTTTATCGTTTAACCCTCGGTCACCTGAAGTCTTTCATACTTCTGCACGTTCTCTCGTGAAAACGACCCCTTAATGACCCTCAGGAGGGAGGGGACCGAGATTAATCTGCGTGTGAATTTAGCCACAATTTCCAGTTACGATGAGAAACCGCTCCCCGGACGTGGAGCGAGACGTCTCCTGCTGAAGACCAGAAGTCCAGCTCTTTTGTTTTTGAACTTCTGGGGTGTCTCGCCGTCTCCTTTCCCCGTCTCTACCTACTCTCACTTGTCCTCCCTGACGTTTCATCTCTTAGCTCTTCGTCGTCTTCCCTCCCTTCCCTCCTCTTCCACGGGCATGTGGCAGGGAACAATAGCTCCATTGTGAAGCGCTCGCTCTCCGCAGTCTTTTCCCTCCAGATCTATTTGTTTTCACATCCTCGGTTGAAGGAGTTGCAACGACGGCTGGATCCAGAGAGTTGGAGCTAATTTGGACCAGAGCACACCACAGAGACACGCTGTCTGAGCGGAGGAGATGAAGAGGCGGGGGGAGGAGGGGAGTTGTAGAAAAAAGGAGAAGGAAAAAGACGGGAGGACGGCGACTTTTTCCCCACATTCATTAACGCACACACAGATGTTCTGAGCGCGCGCTCCGAGCCCAACATTCGATACAACAACATAATCCTGGTGTCGGTATCAGGTCCGCTGGGGTTCCTATAATCTCCCTGGTAATTAGTGGTTAGGGGAGTTAGCGGTTAGCCTCCTCACCGGCTGCAAGTGGATTTTCTACTGCGGTGATTGTCAGACTGCGGTCCAAAGACCCCCCACCTCAGGGTCAACGAAGGGTTGTTGGGAGTGCAATACAGGAGGATATTTGTGCTGCACGCCGGGGGGTTGGACACAATTTGCTGCACGTTTCTCCGTTTAAAAATTCATGAACATCAAGTGGAATAAAAGCAGATGTTAGAACGTAAAAATAGTTTTGAAAAAAGCAGGAGAAGTTAAAAAAAGAAGGTATTTTTCAGTTGCAGGGTCATAAAATGAATATATTCCTTTAACTGGTGTTTGGTGAAGATTAACTGGACACAGGTCGTGGTGAAGAATCACTGAGGTTTTCATGTGTGACCTGCAGCTGCCGTGCACTCCAACACCTTTAAGACCCTCTGAGCCGGAGTCATTGAACAAAACTGATCCATCGGTGACATCTAGAGGCCTGTGAACGACTCCCGCAGCTCTGGATTTGTGCAGACCGTCTGCGATCCTTGTATCCAACCCTCTAACCCAAACAGGAGTCTGCTCTGTTGGTGGCGAACACATCCAAACAATCCCAGACCCGACCGTCCGTAAACTGTAAAGGAAACATGAAAGTTCCTGGAGAAACTTTGATGGGGGCTGCCTATTTATTATTAATAATAAATATTAATAATATTAATACTAATTATTAATATTAATAATAATTCATATATTGTTAATTCAGTTATTAAAATCTTATTAATTAATAATCACTATTAATAATATTCACACCAATAATTGGTAATAATAAATATTACTTGGTAACATTAATAATTATTGATGTTAAAATATATCATTATTAACATTAATAATTATATTTATTATTATTATTATTACTAATAAATAATAATAATTAGTGATAATAGGTGCCTTCCGTGCATGTTGAACCAAAATGGCTCCATATTATTATTATTATTTTTTTCATTTAGCCTTTATTTATACAGGTTAGTCTCATTGAGCCACGAGAACTCATTTTCAAGAGAGACCTGTTTAGGGAGCACATGGTG